CAAATCCAAGAAGATGGATATATATATATTCTCGATAGATATAGACAGACAGACAGACAGACGGGTGGGTGGGTGGATGGGTGTGTGTGTGTGTGTGTGTGAGAAATATATATATTTCACATATGCAAACGTGAAAAAAAGCGTGGGGATGGCTAGCCCCATAGAGGCCTTCTGCCTTCAGCCTCAGATTTTTCATCCTCTTGGTCTCTCCTTCTCCTTTTTAGTAATGTTTTCCATTCAGGTTTTAGGTATTTATATATTTTATGTTTTTAATGGTTGTTGTGAATCGCCCAGAGTTCCCCCATTGGGGGGAGATGGGCGGTTGAAAAAAGTAATAAACAAACAAACAAACAAAAACTCAGACAAATAGGATGGAAAACACTTAAAAGGATTCAAAGTTTGACCAGAATTCACCTGCAAAGCCTCGTACATCACTGCCATCAGGGATAGCCGGCAGCCTCCTCGTCCATCCTTCGCCGTTCTTTTAAGCATGGGGGAGATGCTCCCCACCGACTTGCCTTCATGTTCGGGCCCCCAAATATCTGAATTTTACCTACACTCTTCCTGCTTCCAGGAACAAGCCCGGATTCACTTGAATTAACCCTGAAGCATTGGCGCGTTCTTGAACGGAGGCATTCTCCCAAGCCAGGGGAAACATCAGGTGGGAGAAAAATTGGCCCGTGTTTCTCCAGGCCCACAAACCTGGTTTGTTCCAAAAACAAGTGTTTCATTGCATAGAATCAATTCCCCAAACGTGCCAGGATGAAAAGCAAAACAGAAGCCAGGCCTCTAAAAAATCTCCAAAGCGCGAGAAGAAAACTAGAACGCAGAATCACACCATTCGACCCCAACTCTGGCATTTTTCCTAAACGGGCAATTTACTGCTTTCCACTCACTAAAACATAGCAAAACGTCTATATTTTTAAAAAATGGACATCCAACCCAACCAGGCTGCCTTTTGCTCTCCCTCTGCATCCTTTTTCTATTCTCGCTTGGTTCAACGCTGCATTATAATTCGCCGGATCTGGATCCCTTAAAGCAATTTTCCCCTCCAGTGTGTTCAGCTCTCACACCCATCATTCCCACCCTCGCTGGGAATGCTGGGAGCTGTAATCCAAGCCCCCTCCAGACCCCAAAAACCAACCAAGTCAGTGAAAGACAAAAAAAACAGGACTTAAAAAATGAAACAGAACAGGACTCAAACGCATCCCTCCTCCAAATTCAATTTTTTTTAGTTGACGCAGTTCCTGGCTTTATTGACACTGGCTGGTGGGAGCTGTACAGCTGTCTCTGATGGGCCAAAGACCCCCTCCCCAATTTAGCCTTTTCTTTTTCCTCTTCCTCCCCCAGACTGCTTCTTCGCAGGCCCAAGGAAATCTGAAAACTCAGCCCCAGGAAAAGCAGCTCTAAGCAACCGAGACCTTTGAGAATTGATTGAGAAACATTTTATTAAAAACCATCTTTAATTCTCAGGCGCCCTGGAAATCGAGCCCCAGGGAAAAGAGTGGGAAGGCACTGTAGCGGTTCCTGGGAAGAAAAGGGCAGTGGATTGAGGACAGGTTCGCCGCCTCCTGCAGCTATCCTCAGCCATTCTTCCAACCACCGTCTTCTGCAAACATCAGCCAGGCCAGGTTGGCCAGGAATTCCCCGAGCCAGCGCTGGATGCCCCTGCAGAAGAGCTGTGCTTGAACCGTGCGCCTGTCGCCTCTTGACAAGCACACCTTTTCGAGGGAGCTAAGTCTGTGCAAAGAAGGCCAGGGTGGAGCGTCCTCCCCTTTAACAGAGGCATTCGCACCGATTTAGAAGCCATCAGCAACTTCCCCCACGAGGCAGGGGAAGAAGAGAGAGACCCCCGGGACGTTCACGCTTTAAAACACCAATTTTCCAAGCTGCTGGCAGATGTGAGCTGGGTCGGAGTGCGCCACAGAATTTTTGCAGAATTCTTAAATGCCACCTGACATTTTCACAGAAAAAAACTTCTCCTCCAGCGGGAACGGCCCCCCGGGAGAAAGGGGTCCTTTCCAAAGGAGAGGGGCCGGCGGCTTCAGCTCCCCAAGAGGGCATCAGTAAGGGGGCGGCTGGGCGGCCTTGCTGTCCACGCCGGGGTACGGGCGTGGCGGGTCAGGCGTGTCGATAGACTGGTAGGCACTGGTATCCTGGCTGACGCCAAGCACACCTGGAGGGGCGACATTGAAAGATCTTTTAGTGCAAAAGCCTGACCCCCCCCCAGTTCTTCCCAGCACGGATCAATAAATGTAGAAGGGGCTTGGGGGCCACCCAGCCATCAGAATCACCGGGGTTCGTGAGCATAAGCAGCTTAGCTAGGCCACAGGTGCGTTAGGCTGGCAGGTGGGAAAATGTGCTTGTCTCTAGGTACCACACAATTCTTGCAACCCCAGATGCCCATAAGCCACCCTGGGGTGGGGTGGGTGGACTTCCCTTTCGCGTGGCCCAAATCCCATTCGTAAACAGGGGCCCAAATCTGCACCGCCTGTTAACAGAGTTTGCCTCCGTGCAAGCTGAGAACATTGAATAAATTCAACAGGAGCCGGACCAACGGATGCTTCTGACGCACGGAAAATCACAAAACCTCCAAGCGACCTTCAAAGAGCCTTGTTGTTTCCATAGGGCTTTGAGAGCCCCGTAAGCAGGTCCAGAGGACCCCAGATGAAACATGCATGGAACTGGCTTCAAGATACGGAGTCCGTATCTTGGAGGATCCAAGAAAAACACAGCTGGCCTGGGAACAGCGCCGAGCCTGAACAGGGAGCCGTCCAAACATTACGGGATTCCTAAACCCCAGCAGTCCCCATTTACCTGGCAACGGCTGGAGAATGATGGGACTTGCAGTTGATGGCCACCGCATCATATTGGGCAATTTGATGCTCAGATTGGCCAAAGATACACGGAAGGGGGTCTCTGGACCCACCTCCCGTTTACAATTTTCCTAAGGCCCCGGAAACAGGGTGCTAGGCTCGATCTAGCACAGCATCTCGTGTCTTCTTGCAACGAGCCGTGCAAAAGGACCCTCGGACGTTTGCACCGTCGCTCCCCCCTTAATAACTCCCCACTCTTCTCCAAAATCACGGCCCCGCATGTACAAACTGTTAATAGTTGCGTTTGGAATGAGGATGCTGCTGATCGCACAACTCTGCAAAAGGTTGCTTTAATATTGTATATTTACAGCCTCCATATTTCTGGTTTTTGAAAAAGAAGGTGGGGTGGAGGGAGATCACATCGGCGGGCGAGCACCTCTCTCGTCCAAGCAGGCAGCGTCTCTTCACGTGGGTCCTCCACGTTAAGAAAAGAAGAGGTCATTCAGGAGGGACTCAAAAAGCAGACAAAGAAAGGCTTGAAAAACACCATCCTTTTGCCAGCCACTTCCAGCTGCCCCTGATCCTCTGACAATGTGCCACAGTTTAACTACAAACCAGCACAAAGCTCCTTCTCTTCTCACCCAATAAATCCTGCACATCTTCCTCCAAGGAGCATCACAGCCAGACATCTACTGACCGGAGTAAAATCAGTAAAATTTTATTTCCATCCTCATTTCAGGAAGAACGGGTGTTTCATCCTTTTTCAGCCCACAAATTTTGAACCCAATAAGCCGGACCGCCAGATTGAATTGGAGGCGTGAAAGTAATTTGAAAAAAGTCTGACTTCCCCCCCCCCCGGTCAGCAAGATGACCTCTCAAGAGAACGCTTCAGATCAGAAGCTAGAAAAGGCGTTGTGACAGCTGTTTGCGGGCAGGCGAAATAACTTTGGAGTTTTTTCGTGTTCGGATATACGGAGTACATTAAGAGCTTATGAACATCCAGAACCACGGGTGAGTTTTAACGCTGATCTCAGCAACAGGGAAACTTCACCACAAGGAGAGAGATCGTTTGTCTGCTGGCAAAAGGAGAAAGGACAGATCGCCATTTTGACACATGGGGTGTGCGTGGATGGGGCCCCAGTCATGACTCACGCAAAGAGGAGAAAGTGATAAAATTGAACCGCCTTTCCCCACAGAGGCACTCTTGACATGTGTATGTAGACCCACCAAGGCTCACTTAATTCCAAGAGTAACCCCAGCGTCCCGATGGCTTCCCTCATGGAACTGTACGGTGGTCAAGGGCAGGGAAGGTCTCGAATTAAAGTCCCCGGTCTGCTCCTTTGGACAAGGAAAAAGGCTAGCTTCCTTAGGCCCTTGGAAGATGATTAAACTTCTGCACCCAGGCAGAAATTCTCCAGGTCTGGAGGGCTTTGTGCCTCCAGTCTGTGGACCTTCTAACAGCCGGAGGAGGAGGAGAAGATGGAGGAGAAGATGAAGGAGAAAGAGAAGGAAGAGGAGAAGATGGAGGAGAAAGAAGGTAGAGGAGAAGATGGAGGAGAAAGAGAAGGAAGAAGAGAAAGTGGAGGAGAAAGAAGGAAGAGGAGAAGATGGAGGAGAAGATGGAGGAGAAAGAGAAGAAGAGGAGAAAGTGGAGGAGAAAGAAGGAAGAGGAGAAGATGGAGGAGAAGATGAAGGAGAAAAAGAAGGAAGAGGAGAAAGTGGAGGAGAAGATGGAGGAGAAAGAGAAGAAGAGGAGAAAGTGGAGGAGAAAGAAGAGAAGATGGACGAGAAGATGGAGGAGAAAGAGAAGGAAGAGGAGAAGGTGGAGGAGGAGGAGAAGGAGGCACTTTGCAACCAGCAAGCCATGGGCCAAGGGAAAACCCAATAAATTAAAGGGAAAGTTGACTTCAAAAGCGACGCAGGAGGGGCAAAGCGTTGGAACCAACATTATCCCGGATCAGGCGGCTGTCCGGTGGCGTCGCCAGCTCTGCAACGGAAGAGAAACCGAATAAAGCAAAAACCAGGGCCGGAAAGGGCTGGTGGAAATGGAGGGAGCAGAGCCCCCGAGGGCCGGAGAGCGACGAGCGAAGCAAGCGGCGAAAAAGCCAAGGCCGGCGGCCGTTCCCGGCTGCGCAAGGAAACAGGCCACGGGGAGGAAAACTGCGCTCTGCCAGGGGACTGGACCGTGCCCGGGCGTGCTTGGCGGCGCGAGACTCTCCCGGGCCTACCTAGGTTCAGGGCGTACTCCCCGCCCCGCTCGCGGTACATCTGGTAGGCGAAGAAGCAAGACAGGGGCTTGAGGAGGAGGCTGAAGATGGCCATGCCGGTGCAGAAGCGCGTGGTGTCCGTCAGCCACTTCTCCGAGTGCTGGTAGTAGAGGCTGATGTGGACGATGTCCGTCAGGATGGTGAGGAGCAAGCCCACGAGGAACTGGGAAGGGAAACACAGCTCTTTCCGAGACCTTAAAAAGCCAGCGCGACGAGGCAGCCGCAGCAATTCCCATCGTCCCCAGCTGGCCGGTCCCGGTGGGACCAGGCGTGCAGCAGGGTGAGGGTCAGGGTGGCCTCTGGAGGCTTCCAAGGGAGGGCGTTTTCAAGCCAGCCAGGCACGGTTTGCACTTACGCCCTCCCCACGACCCGTCCTTCAGCTTCCTACCTCGACCCCCCAAAGAAAGATTCACCAACCATGAAGATGGCGTCCACCGAGTCCCGCTCAGCAATTGCCCAGACGCCCAGGGCGAGGATGGTGAAGTTGCTCCAGGCGTAGGTGTTGGGCAGCCAGGGGTACATGCAGCCCCTGTGAGCAGAAGAGAAGACTTTGATCCACGCGCCCTCCCGTCCCGATCTACCTTACAGGGCTGTTGTGAGGAAAAGTAGGAGGCAGCCCTATAAACACTGCCATAAGTGCGATATCAATCTAAATAAGAAATATATTAATAATAATAGTAATGCAACTAGAAGGGAACTGAGACAGCTGTTCCCCCCCCCCGTTAGCCCTCTCTGCAATAATCCCCTTTTTACCCGCCGGCGGGCATTTCTCCTCCTCAATAAATCGCCAGAGAGGGGGAGGAAGGCACTCCAACA